ATAACTAGTTATACATATGGATTGCTTGATTTTTTTCCCCACATAAATAACTTCAATTTAATTGACATTTTTCAAATGATTCGTTTGATACATAATCGAATCAAATTAATTCTTGATTAAGAAAATTATGTAGCTTTTCTAGTTGTCATAAATACAAATTGTAAATGTGAAAGTATTTAATGATTGACCTTAATGGTCAATTTCAAAATATTTTTTTTATATACACTAGATAGTTATCCGTGCTATCTGTACTACTTCAATAGATCGTCTACCAAAGTTTATTTACAGTCTGGAAATGATTTAACATTGCAATTCAAATATTTTAATCCAGTTTTTTTCTATAAAAAATTTCTATATTTGGAATTGGAATGAGGAGAACATGTATATCTCTTTTCTATGATCAATGGTTAGAGGTTTGAATAGAATTTGAAATTTTGAATTGAATTTGGCCAACGACTAAAAAGCTAGGAACTCATACGATTTTTTTACGCATATTCCTTGATAAAACAAAAATCATCAGTAAAGTTGTATTATTTTGAATTTGTGATTTCATGCCACATTAGTGAATCATTTAATGACATAAAAGTTCAGTTTGATATGGAATGGTGGTACTTGCGAGACAACTCAAGGAGAGTAGTCTAATGATAACCCAATTTGTGCAAAATACATAAAAAGTGAGATGTTATACAAAACATTTCAGTATCATATAAACAATGGTATAAGAAAAGAATCTAGGTTGATCAATTCATGCATTAATTGTTTTTTACTTGTTTCACTAGTGTGCAGGGCCGGCAAGCGGGCCAAGTCCGTGCTTATGGCTCAAAAATTTTGATGTTTTGTTTATATATATTATAAACCCATAAATATGCAAAAAGTTTCTTTAATTCAATTGGTTCATGGGCTATATGAATAAAAAATAAATGGAGGGTTCGAGTAGCCTTGTAAACATTTAGTTTTAAAAAATCTTTTTTCAAAACATCAATAATTATCAACCCAAATTTTTTTTTTATTTGTGGTCCTTAAATTCTCAGGTCCGGCCCAGCTAGTGTGTAAACATTTTGTTGTCATATTATTGACATAATATGTTGAACTCTACGTACCAAATAGGTCATTGAGCAAAGCTTAGCGAGCATTGACATGCAAATGTAAAGATACATTCAGAAATCTCAATAGATATTTGTCCCAAAAAAACTAACAAATAACAACTTTTTCCGGTAATCATAGTTTACATAGACATATGATTGTTTATAGATTATCTTGACTCACTTCAAACGCTAAAAGAAAGGCCAAACGCAAAACCATGAGCGAATTTGTTAACAAATCAAGGAATAAACTATAGAACGAATACGATGAATCGGGCTTATAAAATGCGTTCCGAAATGAACAACAACAAGAAAGATAAGATGTTTTGGGTATTTATTTATTTTCAAAGAAGGGCACATTCGTAGTTAGGGTCAACGATGAGGGTATAATCGGCTTTTAACATGTAACAAGTCAATAACTAGAATCACCCGTTGAAAACGCAGCGTATTTGCATCAAAGCTAAAAAAGAATCTGCCTTTGCGCGTCCTCTGGTTTTCTTTTTTTTTTTTCCTTTTAATTTATCGAAAAATTCGTCGAATCTCTCTCTCTCTCTATCCCCTTCTCGATTCTAGGGTTAGGGTTTCGATTCTGCAGAGATTTTAATTTCTTTCTTCAACTCATTACTACTTAATCCCTCTCTTCATAAACCTTATTCTCTTCTCCTCTCTTTGAATCAGCCATTTCTTCTTCTTAATTCGAAACATCTTCATAACTTAAACATGTCGTGATTCCCTCAAATTTCTGGTAACTGCTACTAACATTATATTTTATCTCTCTGTTTAAGATTTGATTTGGTTTCATGAAGAGAATGTTTTTTCCCCCCTCGTGATTTGCATCTTGTGTATATATTTTCTGGGTTTTGTTAGGTTTTTCGTCTATTTAAGTTTCATGGTTCTACGTCGCTTCCTTTGGATTTTAGGGCGTTACCATTGAAACCAAACACTCAAAAGGGTCAATCCAATCGAGTTTTTGTTTGTTTGTTTTGCAGAAGAATCTCTAAAGTTTTGATTTTTTTTCTGATGAATCCACTAATGGTCACAAACGCTCATGTTATGGTTTTGTTTTGATTTCAGGTGTTTATTCCAAACTCCATTGACACAACGTTTGCTTTCATAAAGCTAAAAAGCAATGTATACATCTGAGGGAGTCCCTGATTTTGCTGTTGACCAAGGCATGTATTACCCAGTTGATGCCAGTTATGGTTATTATTGTACAGGTAATAATAAGTTTGATTCTTGGTATCAATTTATCCTCTTGGCCACAAGGTAGTGTCCAAGTTCCTTAATTTTCTAACTTTTTTGCAGGTTATGAAACACCCGGTGATTGGGAGAACCATCAGATGTTTTTTGGTGTAGATGGTTCTCAAGTTCAATATTCGGTACCAATCTCGATCATAAGGACTTCTCGTTTTTATTGTCGGTTTGTTCTCTCATATATGTTGATGTTCTATCTTTTTCTTTTTGCTTCTTCCAGGGTGGGCAGAATGAAAATTCTCCCTATATATGCTATACGCCTAGTTATGGATATGCACAGTCTCCTTACAATCCATTCAATCCTTACATACCTGGCGCTTCAATAGGCGTTGTTGATTCTCCTTACCAGAATGTTGCATTGTCACCTACGTTTGTTCCGTATGCAATTCACCCTGATATCATCTCGAGTACCTCTACAAACTCTTTGGTAGAGAGTGGTTCAGGTCATAGGGGTCGATCTGACGGAAGAGGATCCAGGCAGAGAAATGCTTCAGCAACAGATGGACTCCAAAGGAATGCTCCAAAACTCCCTGCATCGAATTCTGTGAACAGATCCTCTGAGAAGCCAAGGCCTTACACTGGACAGAACAAACAGCTAGGAACCGAAAGGAGTGTTTCGACAGGATTTTCTACTCACCAGGTATATTTTCATACAAATAATTCCTGGTTTTACTTTTATTTTTGGTATTGACAATAGGAGGTTGATGAATGAGAAAGAATATAGCAAAATGATTATGATTCTAACTTCAAATATTGATATGCTTGCTGGTGTAGTAGTAGGAGTGGTTTGTTGATAACATCACTACCGCCAAATATATCATTCTGATTTTGACTCTGGACTTATGTAATCATCTTTTTAGGGAAGAGCTACTACTTCTGTTGGCGCTCAAACCGTTGACGTTGTTTCTAGTAGCAGAATATCGTCTTTTGGACAATTAGACATTGCTCCACCTGAACGTAATGGTTTTTCATCCACTGCAACAAACAATAATAATCTTCGGCCCAAGCTGTATGGTGGGCATGCAAATATAAGTCCAGATACAGGCAGTGAACAAAATCGAGGTCCAAGATCGAAAGGATCGAGAAATCAGCTAATTGTTAAAGCTTATACGACAAAAGCTGGAAACGCTGATGCCGAAGGAAATATTGTTATCGATCCTAATCAGTATAATAAAGAAGATCTCCGAATCGATTACAAGAATGCCAAGTGTTTTGTGATTAAATCGTATAGTGAAGATGATGTTCACAAGAGCATCAAATACAGTGTCTGGTCATCAACTTTGCACGGGAACAAGAAATTGCAGAGTGCATATGAAGATTCTCAGAGAATAGCCACAGAGAAGTCTTGTGAATGCCCAATATTCTTATTTTTTTCTGTGAGCTTTTCATTCTCTCGTCTTACATATGCTAAGCTTGTTCTGTTAACACTTTGGGCATATTCTGATGTAGTACTTCTCTTTGTAGGTCAATGCGAGTGGTTTGTTCTGTGGCATGGCTGAGATGACCGGACCAGTTTCTTTCAACAAAGACATGGATTTTTGGCAGCAAGACAAATGGAGCGGAAGCTTTCCTGTCAAATGGCACATCATTAAAGATATTCCCAATAGCTATTTCAGGCACATCATTTTGCAGAACAATGAGAATAAGCCAGTCACCAACAGTCGAGACACACAAGAGGTGAATTTTCCTATTAGCAGCACTGCCTGTGAAGATTATCAAATTCGAATAATCTGCTTACTATCGTTTTCTTGTGCAGATAATGCTGAAACAAGGTCTGGAGGTGCTAAAAATATTCAAAAATCATGCGGAAAGGACTTCGTTACTGGATGATTTTCTTTATTACGAAAACCGACAGAGAGTCATGCAGGATGAGAGAACCAGGCTGCCGTACAGGACCTTTCTTAGCCCTTCACCAATACCCAGACCAGATTTCTCTGACAGAAACAAGAAAGTCTCCACGGACGCCTTCAAGATACCTTCAGTAACCTCTGCACAAACCAAAGAGGTTGCTCCAAAGTCAGAGGGGAACGAGGAAACCACCGTAAAGGAAGGTGCTGAAGAAGATACTACTTCCATTCAGAAGAAGATCACCTCTCTCACCATTAGCCCGACTGGTATAGACTCCGACTCAACCACTGGTTCTCACCTTAACCAGTGTCAAGCTAAACCGACCCCCTCTGGCTCTGACCAGAAAACAGAGCCTTCTGAAGTGGCCGATCCTTCTCTGTCTGATGACAATGAAATTGTCAAAGTAGGATCAGTGCCGATAAAAGTTACAGCGTCTCCTGCAATCGTAACCTTTGGCACTATTCCTCTGGACCCCAAATGAAAGTAAACTCTGGGTTTGGTTTATTATCCGTTTCTATTTTAATCATCCTTAAAAGTCTAAAAGTTAACTCCCTGCATTATACTCCTGCTTAATCATATATGCTAAATGCGGTCTGAGGAGAGGCTTCCGTTTGTATAGATGAGTCTGATGACTTTAGAATCTGCGGTTTGGTCAAACGCCAAAAAGGCAATCGTTGAGGTTTGCGGTTAGTGGTTGCGTGTTTTGGTTTATATTGGATATGACCGGAGAGTCGTTGCATGTTCAGTATTTTGATCGGAAATTCATGTGTCGTTGTCACTTACTGCGTGTGTTTTCTTTCTGTACTTCAAAATTCCCAGTTTTTACATTTCCTTGTTTGTTGGCGTATTGTTTGGTCATTTGTTCCCAACTCAAAAGAGTTTCAAATTGATGTTTTTTTTCTTTCTTTTTTCTGGTCAACCTTTTTCTTCTTCCTGATGGCATTTGCATATTATAGAATTGCCAGGTCTGATTTCAGGTTAACATTTTATTCACTTGTTATATTATCAAGTAGTATCAACTATTGATTTTATGTAATCATTAATTGAGTCTTTTCACAAATCACAAGTGTAATTGCATCCATGAGTAGATTAACGGTGATACAAAAGAGTTACATGAAACGACAGCGTTTCATTAGCATGGACCCAAAATAATAAGCCCATTAGAAAATTATCTATTATCTTAAAATCACATCGCACATATAAGGCACCCACTAAAAGGCCCTACAAGGGATGGCCCATATACAACTAAATCTTATCCATCCACGTGGCAAATTCACAACCATTCAGATTCACCGGAGAAATTTTCAACAAACGTAATTCGAATCATACGATTCTTCCACCACCGGAGATCCATCGAGCAAACAATCAATCGGAGGAATCGTCAACGTCTCTTGAGTCCCATAAGCATTCCAACAAAACGGATCATCGAAAAGCTCACCTTCCTCCGGCAATAGCTCGACTTCCGACATTGTGATATTCGTACAAGCGACTGTGTCGCTACAAGCGAAGTGAATCGGAGGACTTCTTACATCGTAAGTTCCTTTGATGTTACGATACTCGACGTCGTAGACTCGAACAGCCGATGTTTCGTTACGACAAGCTTTTGATAAGCAGTAGTATTGGTCGACGATGATGCAGTTTAAGACGTTTTCCATTTGGATGTTTTCGAAGAGGAGATTTGAGACAGATCCGGTACCCCCTTGCCATGTTTTGATTCGGAGACCGTTGTCGGAATCGCGAATTATGGTGTTTCGAACGGTTAGATTTGAAACGCAAGCTTGAGAATTGTGCACACCTAAGCTCCCGATGCTGCGTTTTGAGGAGGGGATTTCACGATTTTAAGCGGTTAGAATCAAATCGCGTTTGAAATTTTATTAGTTCAAATAAAATAAGAAAACCAGGTAAAAGAACTTCAATTTTGAGTTTTTAGACCAAA